GGAATCTAATCTCGGCAACGAACTTTCAAGTTTTAAATTGTCTGTCAGTTTGTTGATCTTCTCCAGACAGACAGCTGCTTCTGCATCGTCATTGATAGCCAAACAATTCCAAGGTGTTTCATGCTCCAAAAATTCTCTATATATAAAGGTATACGTCGTTGTTTGTTCTATTTCGGAGAATTTTATTTGCTCGGTTTACCCTCTCCTTTGTTCTTCCAGTTCGTCTTGAAACTGAGGACGTTGATACTGCAGCCCGCAAGTCAGAATCAGATAATCGTATGTAATGTTCCCTTGATGCATCACTGTCACATATTTTTCTTTCCTGTTGATCACAGAGAGTGACTGTAATTACGTGTCCCATTGAAACTCAATTCAATTTGAATTGAACATTGAAGTTTCATTGATATTATAATGAAACACGATTATCGCGATCGTATTGATAAAGTTTGAAACAAGATCGAGATCTTGTACGTAGAAGGTGCAAGATATTTATCTCATGCACTTCGCAGGGGATCATAAAAGTATTTGAACTTAATTAATTATTTATTATATTATTTATTATTATATTGATATATAATTATTTATTATTATATTGATAAATTTCAATAGCTTGGAAATCATCCATTAGTATGTATTAACCATTAAATGCGTGATTCTTTTTGAATGAAATACAACACTTCGAAGTTGCCAATTCGATATTAAACTTGAGAAATCTTAAAAAAAAAAAATAATTTTCGATCTTTTCGTTTTGACTTTTACCAAGACAGATATATAGTTATACGTGTATATGTATATTGTATATATGGTTATACAACTTTAATTATTTATCGTTGAATCATTTTAATTACAATTACCTTCATGCTAGATTCTAGTGTATCATACAAACTTTCGATCTCATTTAATCACTTTTTTATTCACTTTCAATTTTTCCCAATATAATAATGTATTAATAAAACTCACTCTAGTAACACTAAAACTATCGACGTGTGAAGCATAATATTTCCATCAGAGACATTAGAGCTGAGTAAGAAAATAGGGAACCTTTATAATACAATAAATTACAGAAGCTTTCACTTGTATATAATATTTTACGAAGAATAATTCAAATCTTTAAAAATACACTGTTCTATATCTATAAAATTCCCAACAGAAATTATAAATTGGTCATTTAGTGTTAATGAAATTCCAAAAAATTTTAACATTTTCGTAAAAATTCTGTTTACGAAAAATATTCAAATACTTCTATGCATCACTATAGGTGTACGATGCATCGTTTGCAACACTTTCTTTCCTCCTACCTCTGAATCGATATCACTGTTCCATATACGAGATTAATCCAAAAACGCGCGCCGATTAGTCGACGATATTTTCGACAGTATCGACCTTTGAAGGGTAGCAAACGCTCGCTCGTTTCATCCTTGTCTTCGAAGGGCAAACCGTTTGGCGAGATCAGAGTGATATTCGCGAATCGCACGAAGCTGTGTCTAGATTTAAGAGAAAAGAGAGTTGGTCGTTCTCAGAACTTTCTCCAAAATTTTCTTTCCTTTTTTCAATTCGTTTTACCCAAAGGCAAGCTGTTCGACGAACGCAACGCCGCAATCCGAGGCACCGACCACGACCACCTTCGAATCGATCATCGACGTCGGCATCATCGCGAGCCTTGGTGTCGTCATAAAAAGCGAAAATGGCTCGTTCTTTTGTTCTTCAGGCTCGTCAGTCTCCACGAAACCGTAATACTTGTATTCTATTCTTTTACGAGGTTTCACAGGGATCATGGAGCTCAAGCAGATCGTTAGGGGATGCGTACGAGTCTGAAATATAGAAGTCATCCCTCAGGATGTAGCCATCGTTTTGATTCATCCTCTGTGTGAATTTTAAATGGCAAGTATCGAAATAGCACCATCATCGAGAAATCTTAGGACGATTTTTGATATTTTAGACTATATTACTCTGTAAATAAGTAACTGTTACTTATTATGAAATTAAATGTCACTTAGATGATACTAATGTATGTATGTGATTAATCTATATTAAATACCGAAAAATAAAAATATATATTAAATACCGAATAAAAGAAAAATATATATTAAATACCGAATAAAAGAAAAATAAAAATATATTAAATACCGAAAAATGTCACTTAGATGTATATATTAAATATATTAAAATAAAATAAAATAAAAGAAAAATATATTAAAATAATAAAATAAAAAATATATAAAATAAATATATATTAAATATATAAAATAAAAATATATTAAAATAAATTAAAATAAAAGAAAAATATATTAGAATATATTAAAATAAAAAAGAAATAAAAATATATTAAATACCGAAAAATGTCACTTAGATGATACTGATGTATGTACGTTATTAATCTATATTAAGTACCGAAAAATAAACGCTGTAACGATACCAGTACTGATAACCGATAACGCTAAGTTTAAATATTTGCATGTACACGCTCTATTTCTATTTTCTTACTTTTTACAGATCTTACGCTGATCTTATTGCTAGTCCAATGATAGTTGAACCATTTCATTCAGATGGAACTACAATTTACAGTTGAATTACTTTTAATTTAATTAAATCTTATCACTGATCCCCGTCGCAAAATAAAATTTTCAAAAATTTGGTATAAATCACTGCGGTCATCTACAAATGAAATTCCTGGCGAAAGTTATTCTCCGCTGATCAATGAAAAATTAATAATTCGTTAATGAAAATTTTATTTAAAATCGAGAAGACGTCCCAAGACCTTTCGAACGAAAGTGCAATCCCAATCGCGAGGAATTGTTACCAATGCACTCGACGCTTTTCCCGTAAGACGATAGTAAAGAACGACCATGCCGCTGAAACGGGAGATCTCGCAGAAAAAGTAGGGCAGATGAACGGAGAAAATTGGCATCAGGACGAAATGTAGAATACGCCCGTACGCGTCGTTACGTATATTTTTCTCAGCGATGTAATCTTCCACGTGATAACGTCGCCTGACGTACGTGATTTCTTCCTCGGCGCTGATGTGTCATCGTAAGTTCAGTAAAGAATTTCATAAAGAGCAAGATCAAGATACTTCCGAGCTCACCGAAGAATCGTTACGCCTACAATCGTGTCCTTCCATTGAAAGACGTAACACCGCATTCCTGATGGCTCTTCCTCGTTCATCGCGACATCGAAGTCCATTAAAACCTGTTTCGATTTTGGTATTCTTTGCAAAAGATCCTGCACGCCCTCCCTGTCGGAGAACTTCGCCTCCCTAATTTTTATCTGGCCCAGAAGAGCGGCACGATGCGTCACGTACAAAGTCATCGGATAATCCTTGTTGCACTTCAACGGCACGCGCTGCATTTTTTTTAAAAACATGCCAACAGGTCTCTGATTGTTCTTAAATGTAAGTTACTGTAACAAGTACGTTTATTCGTTATTGATTCGAAACCAGTAGTCCAAACTACTGGTTCAATCGTGAAACGTTTCTTTTTAACGATCGATGACTGAACGCCTGGATCAGATCTGCAAGGATTTAGGCAAAGTATCGGTAGACAGATGGAGCGTTATCATTTACGGGAAATTTACAACGTGCAAAATACAACTGATACTGAGAAAAAGATATTCAAAACAAAAATATACCGTTTCTTTACTCGCGTTTTACAAAACCATGAATTTTGCACAAATATTCGTCCGATTCATATTTTTACAAATATGAAACTAAAGAAATGGGACTTAAATGGAAATCAACATAAATTAATAAGTTCAATAACGACATGGTTGAGTTAAAAATAAGTCGTTCTCGAACGTGAATGAAGCACAGCGTACCACGAAGTGTTTGAGAAAGGGAAGGGAAGGATGAGAGAACGGCAGAAGTATCACGCAATAATCGATTTCGGGAAAACACTCGAACGCAGCCTCGACGAAGTCCCTGCTCCAGCGACATTTCATTTCGTCCCTCATCGTGAAAATCTCCAGGACGAACGCGTTCACGTCGCCGTGATAAACTGGCTGCGAAGGGACGTCGATCTTGTCGAACACCAAATCTTCGAAGAGCTCGCGAGACATGACCACAGTTTTCTCTTTGTTGGGAAAAATGTATCCCATTTGATCTCATTTTCTATCTTCTTCTTTCTTCTTTCTTTTTTTCTTTTTCATTTTAAAACAAGCCGAGAATTAAAACTCACTTGGAATTCTGAAGAACGACTCCGCGAACGCGCTGCTCATCATTTTCGACTCATAGTAATTGGCCGTCGATTGCGGATCGAGGAAAACCAGTATCGACGGATCGATCGATTCCTTCGTAGGCTGTTTGAATTCCAACAGTTGTTGGTTGTTGAACGTCACAGTAGTTCCAGAAGTATTAAAGTCTGCGTCCTTGAAGGCTTCCATACTCCCTTCCGGTGAAAGTTTCTCGGGTAATCTAACACGGTGTGAACGTATTTGACTTGAATGCGTCTAGCGGATAAATCTATCGAAGACAAGAAGGCTTCGAGTATTTTTGTTCCAGGAGCTATTAGAAGATTATTTCTTTCGTCTCTGTCACGTATTTCTAAATTTCGACAAAGTAACAATTGCTACTCAGAAATTTAGAGCGTGTGAATATCTCAAAAGAGGCAACTTTCTTCTAGTAAATAAATATTTCATTTATAACATTGCTCGTTTGTACTACTGAAATTTTGTTTAATTATACTCAAAATAACAATTATAGTATTTTCGTTTCTCAAAAGAAACAAATGTAGGAAGAAATTTACTTTGGTCAGAGAGGTGTCCCAAACTTTTCAGCGAAAGTGTATATATAATATTCATAAACAAAGTTAAGCATCCAACGAACTAGGAAGACGATGCAAAAGAAATTCGATGTAGCTCAAAACTAAGGTACCAAAAGTACTAACTCTTTCGTGGGTTCGTCACGAGGTGTTCTCGAGAAAATGGAAAAGAAAATTTCGCTGGCAGGTTGCATGATTTCTCCGGGAAATTTGTCCATTTCGTGAGGTTTTCTGAGACCGTTGTACGGTACTAGCTCGAAATTCTCATTCAGTGTATCCACGTCGATATTGCTGTTCAGAAACATCACACCAGTGGCCAAACCTTCGTCATCCTCGGAAACGATCAATCGTCGACAATTGTCAGGATGGCGAACTATCTCACTGACGTAGAATTCTCCGTAGAATTCTTTCACCATACTCGTTTCTGCGTCGATGATCGTCACTACATCGTCGTTATCCTCTTCTCTATCACGTAGAAAGCGAAATTTCGATTTAGCGAGCGAACATATCTGTTACTAAAATGTCTGAGTTTAATTTGGAATAGTTACGGAAATTGTATGATAGACGGATAAAGAGTGATTTCGAAATTATGGCACAGCGGGCAAACAAAAGATTTCTTGCGTAAAAGTAAGTTAGAAATATAGAATAATGTCAAAACTTGGCAAGTAGGTGAATTTGCATAATTCCTAACTACACAGAAATATAAATGTGAAATTAAGTCGGAAATATAGAATGAAGCATTTCTCAATTTTCAAAGTTGACTTTTTCTTTAAAAAAGAACTTCATTCTCAATTTATTATTCTCAATATATCCTAATTAGAAGAATAATTGAAATTAGAATAACGATTATTTATTTCTGTTTAACTAGGATCAGATAAATTCGTCAAAGTTTTCAAGCTCGATTTTCTCACAAATGCAAATGTTCTTCTACTCTTTCTTCTCTCATTTTTAGCCTCCTCAGAATTTTATTATCCTCAATTTTCGTTTTATTTCGAACGATGGAACCTTGCTTCGCCAATTTTTCACGACAGATCACCACCTTTCCAATTGTATGAAAAAGAAACAAACTCAAAAGGATCCTTAACTCACACGACGCGTCGAACTTTAAGCCTGGGATTTTCTAGGTGACGATTGGTCATGTAGATTGACTGCACGCAGGGCTTATCGGTCAAGCATCGGAGCGGAATCTTGATCATCTGTTGTTCGAACACGTCCACGTCCGCTGGAAAATTACAACCTATGGTGGTCTTGAACCACGTCGGCCAAGAGTTCGATCTTTGGCTCACATCTTCCGCTCACATATAATAATCCGGGGAGGTATCACGAGCATCACGTGCTGCAAATATGACGTGACGTTGAACAGTCCGGTCAGAAGGTCCGTGAAGAAATGGCCGGTGTATCGTCTGTCCCAGGCGAGGATGTGCACGAACATCGAATTTCTTTCTGTCACATCTTCGGGCCTTTGTTCGATCAATTGATCACAGAAACACTTTAACTTCTTTGTGCCACACACTTGCGTTTGTATCGTACAACGAATATTCACGCAAATTTATATTTCGACAGAGAGAGAGAGAGAAAGTGTATATTTTTTTGTAAAAATGTATATTTCATACATTCTTCATTTTTATTTTTTGAATTTTGAAATTTCCCATAAACGCGTACAAATATCGACATTAACGAGTTCGTCGGAGAATTATTTGCCAGATAACGTCGTAAATGGAAAATGATCGACATCGGTGAGTTCGACATCCAATCGAATGAAATTTATACGAAACAGAAATAGTATAGTCTTTGTTACTTATACAACGTGTACAACCAAGTCAGCCAATCGTCCGGAGCCACCGAGGGCACGTTCGGATAATTGCAAAGACATATGCCTGAAATGATTTCGCACTTCTCGTTACATTGCACCATTGACAGGCAACTGGCCTCGCTGGAAATGAATATTTCCTGCTATCATATTTCAAAATTGCCAGACGAATAGTTACAATTCAATGAAATTTCCCAAATTAAATTAAACGTGTAATAGCTAGAAAATTCCACTAAGCATTCCATATAAATAAACAGACATTTTTTTCAATGAAAAATAGACATTCCAAAATGTAATTCTAACTTCGAGTGATTGTACTCTGATCTGGATAACAAGCTATCACACGCAATGCGTTTTATTTTTAGAAAATGAATCAAGGTCCGCCGCAGCAGAAATTTAAATGGTATTAATAGCCATATTAAAAATTTTCCGACTAAAAATAACCACGGCGACCTAGACAACTCGAGGATCGTTCGTCACGGGTTGACGAATTCTTTTAGCTCGGATTTGGTTAAAGGATTTGGTTAATCGAGTACAAAATGCGTTCGAGGTCCACGTCTCCGAAAATTTCGTATGTCTCCGGATGTATCAGCTGCTCGAGGTTAGGCAAATCGGCGTGCTCCATTTGCCTGACGCCGAGGATCTTCGACGCTGCATCTAAACTTCTCCTGCCGAGGAAATATGCTTCCGGATCGCCTAGCCATATGTTCATTTTCTTCCTTTCACAACCGCGACGATAGTCTTGGCGAATCGAAATTTATCGCTGAATATTCGATACTCGATCGTGTTATGAAATATCATGGAGAAAATTGCGCGACTATTTTCAGAATCAAAACGAAGATCTTTGAGAGTCATTTTGTTGACTTTGGAATTCTTAATAAACTTATCACACGTATTTCTTGATAAAAATAGAAAAAGCTTTTAGAAAAAGTTTTATGGCTATTTCAGAATTAAGATGAAGATGTCGACATTGGAACGATTATTCTTATTATTACCAGATAAAATCTGACGGTTCTCGAATTTACTGGATCTACGTTTCTAGACGAAGATCTCACGCTGAGAACTATTACATTAATCTGTGCTGTTCGTAATGGAGGAAATCTATCGCTAGAGTTCCCCATCTACCATAGAAAAAGCTTCGTAATTACTTCGAATTGACAATCGAAACTAGAGTCTGCCAAAGGGAAATATCGTATCGATCAGCGCTAATGCGAATACTGCCAATAATCAAGAAGAGAACCGATCGAGATCGCTGGATGCCGAGTAATCGTGGGAAAAACGAGGCTCGCTATATGCGCCTCGACAAGGCGACCGACTTTAACGCTGGCAAAAAAAGGTAATAACGAAACTGCTCGAACGATTTAACCGAAGGGCCAGAGTAATTGCTTCGCGTTCTCGCAGTGTTCCCGCTTCTTGCTTGCCTTTCTTCTCTCAAGCGTTAAGCTCCGTCCACAACGCTGTCCACAACAATCGGTTTGCAAGCGGAAGCGTTTCGTACTTCCGGAGGTAGTATATCGAAAAAAAAAAAAAAACTTGGGAAAAAGCGTCGAGCGATTCGCACGTTCACGACGATAGAATTGTTTTCTTTCTTGCGATCTGCCGCAATAGCACGCATCGCGGAAGCTATTTACGCCGCATTTAGCGCTGGCACGTGCGAGTCCCACGATGCAATCGACAATAACCGACACGATCGTTACGGTGCGTTACGATCGGCGCACTTTTCGTTCGCCTCGCTTCCATCAGATCCAAGCCTTTTCCACCGGAGCAAAGTTTTTCAAATTCTTCGAGCAATCGATTTCTTCTTTTGCCAATGTTCCGTCGCGTCGATCGGAGAACAACGGGCTTCGAGTTTCACCAAGGACTGACTCGCTGTACGAGGTTTACAAATACCTCGCTAACGACTCGCGTCATGCGACTTTACGACACGATATGCAGCGCAAAAACACGAAAACGCGAATACCTTGCTCCGATGTTTTGGCACCGAGGACGTTTCTTTTCGATGGGTTTATACTTTTGGTAAATCGATCTCCGATGTTGGTCCGAAGGTACCTTTGTGTTTAAATATGATAGAATTCTTCAGTGTCCGAACGAACTAACTGGAAAGCAAATGGAACTAATCACTTTTTTCCCCTGGTGTTTATATTTCATGCATTTGAGTAAAGGCGAAGGAAATTTTCAGTTTATTTGAATATTTGAAAACTTTATATTTCTTTGGCACTAGTAACTCCGTAAAGTTTCTTTTTTTCTTTTGCTTCGAATGTCTCGAACGCTTCAGCATTTCCATTCCCTTTCTTAAAAACATCAACGTCTGAAGATATTAAAATAATATCTACAAAAATCCTATAATTCCGTATAAATTTCGAATCTATTACAGGAGTTTATTACAGGAATTCAGTGGCACAGCGTTCGCCTGACTCTTGCGATTCGATCATTATGTGTAAATCGTCGATTCGTTCAAATATGTACTCAAGTGGAATGTAAATAAATTTTCCAAGCCTGCAAATATTCGTTTTGAAGTTCGAAACAAGCCTGCGAAGACCGACACCGATTTACAATAAATATAATAAAAATAATACATTCGTTCAATTCTATCAGTTTGCAAAATGAAACAAAAAATATCGCATTCATACTGATCTTGACCTCGTCACTAATCTGAATAGTCGAATAGACTAACTATAAACGTTCGTTCAAACTAGTTAAGAGTAATTACTATGAAACTCGACTTCGGCTGAAATTGCAGACATAGGAAAAAAAAAAAAGTCGAGTGCACGTACGCATAACGATCTGTTATCGTTATCACGGGAAGGGGAAAGGGTTATTTCCGCTTGAGGAGTTTGAAGATCGGACGCTGACAGAAAGCTTTCCTCCGCAAGTTTCTAATTAGCTCTCTCCGGCAGATCTGCCGACTGATTACAGGCCGTGAGATCGGTCGCCTCGCTGAAGAAGTGGTCGTGGGCCGCGATCGCCCCGCCGTGCACACAGAAAACGAGCTTTTATTAATAACTGCAAGAAATGCGGAAGCAGCGATCGGTGGCCAGGGATCGTGCCTCTTTGTATAATACAAACCACGCGGATATTGCGCCTCTCGACGTATCCTATCAGTCTCCGTTTCCTCCGTTTCCTCTACGACGAAGAAAGAAAGAAAATCCTCAGGACGAAGAGGATTTCGACGAACAGACAAATCATCGGAATCGATGCTCGTTCTGTTCGAGAGGTAACACGCGAGTATGGACCATTGAACGCGCAACGATTCGTAACGAGTTACGTCAGACCAACCACCGTACGAATTTCCGACTTGCGAAATACGCCTCGTTGCTCCTTTACTTTTACTTCACGCCAGTAGAGTGTTCCCACAATTCTTCCAGTGTTCGCGAACACTGTTCGCGTGCAATGTGACGCAAAAGTGTTGCATTTCTGCGGCGATAATTAGGGGGTCCAAGTTGTTTTTTCTGATGGATGTGCAAGGAATAAGGAAGGATTCTTATTGTTGTCCGACGCTTAATTTCTTATCGAGGAATTTAAATTGTAAAATAAACGTTGTTCCAACGATTTCACGTCGTAAAAGCACAGTGTCGTTGCGTCACTAGTCAAGATATCTATACTCAAGTATCATAAGTTAATTAACGCGTTCGATGGAGTGTGCTTCCGAAGGTATTCAATTTACAATTCTCCTCTTAACGAGTGAGTCGTACAGTAGCGTATACAATAGGTCGTTCATTTTATATTTGAAAAGTGATATCGAAGTGATATTTTTAACTTGACATTGGACACGAAAGTAAAAATGTAATATAAATACATGTAATAAATAAGCAGTGTTATATATGTATAATTGTATGTTAGTGAAAGTCATGAAAACATTCCCTAAACTTCCACACACTAGCGCATTCACTTTAATAACGATCATACGTCCGATAATAATAAATTGCACGATGTTCGTAGTCACAACATGACCTATATAGGGAAAAGTCACGGTCGTTAAAAACCCTGAGTGAATTGGAACACGTTCTACGAGTTCGATGTAAAGCTTCGTCGATTATATGAATAGATTGGTATGTATAATTTATAAAATTGTAGGAAAATTATTCTAGCTTACCTGTTGCTCGTTTACTCGTTGTATCGTTCAAGAATGTGTCGATGGGACGATCAACACCCTCACTCAGCGACGGTGCGCACCAGACTGAGATCAACTGAGCGGACTTTCGGAGATCAAGCAAGCGGTCTGCAACTGCAACGAGAAAAAGTTGAGGGGAAGAGTGGGGAAACATAGACTGGGAAAGTAAGCATACCTTCCAGTCGTAAGTGTCTAGTCGTTATCGAAAACGGGAAGTAAACGAAAATTCTCTTCAATTTAACAGCTTGCTTTCTCCTCCTGTTTTTGTTTCTACTTTATTGTTCGTCTCTTGAAAATACATGGTCGTTGAATACGTGGCCGGTGCCACGGTCGAAAATTGCGAGAACAAAAAATATTAATTATAAAATATATATATATATATATATATATCTTTCAATGTTTGTTTAATCTGTAATTAAATCAAACGAGAATAGTGAACGAAATCATAGGAAATCTAAAATTAACCACACGATCGGTGGTTACATATGATAACGCGCCCTTCACCTAGTTGCATCATTCGCATTGGAATTGCTCTAATTTCACGTACGCACGGACAATAACTCGCAAGGTGAACTGACATAAATTTCACCGTCTCGGCAACGATAATCAACGGGACGTTGGAAGAACGATAACGTTTTAAAAATATAACATTTATTAGACATGATTTGATCTTACAAACAAAAAACTTCGTCGTTATTAAATCGTGTAGTAAATAAATAATGTTTTGTTGCAATAAATTAGAAAACTTATAATTTTTCTTTTTTTCTTCTTCCGCTTGTCATCTAACTATCACAGAGGCTTATAAATTCAAAATCGAAACAGCGAGAAATATGAACAACAAATCATATCGTTGACCAATGTGATTGTTTCCTTCCATCCGTGTTTTGAAATAGAAAATCGTATATTATATATTTCGTTACATGTAAATTTTTTTGTAACGCATCTGATTTCTGGGACTAATACGATTCTATGAAACGTCGAGTTGCGTCGCTCTCCTCTATCGATTTCAGAAAAAGTCAAGACTCGTCAATCTCGTGATCTCATACAACGCTGAATAAAGGCTGACGGTTCCTTCGCATAGCTTACATGTACCTGGAATCTCACGTACTTGTATAATTGTATACGTATATTTATCTACAATGATTTTATGATTATATTATCATCTATTCGGTAATAGAGATTTAAACTAAAGTATTCCGCGTTTTTGAATAAAATTCGCATTCATAGTTCGTATATCTAAGGATATGGACGTTCTAATGGACAGGCGACACGAACTTTGTAATTTAAACCAATGGAATATGTCGACGCCCGTAATAGAATAGTACAAAACAATGTACTAGACAGGGTAATAGAATGTTACAAAATGGAAGAGTACGCAGAAAGGGTGCGCGCGGAAGCTTGAACGTTGCTCAAAAAATACAAAATCAAATCACATACTCAAGAATGTTTGCAAATCAATAGCTTTTTCTATCGTAAGAAATATGATTGCATAATATTTCCAATAATTGGACAATCAGTCCAAAATGATTATGGACATTAATATTGGAAACGATAAAACTTATAACATTGATTTCATTGTTAGTTTTATTGTCATAAAATATTGATGTCCATGAACGTTTTTCTTAAAAGATTCGTACTTGTTACTGCATTTTTGATTAATTGTAAAATAGTGTTGCTCGAAGCTTTTCTTACGACCAATAAGTTTCTTATCATCTTCGACGAGTTTTATCTTTAGTGAGAAACATTTAAAATAAAAGTGTCCCGTGTGAGAACATTGAAATTCGAGCGAGTCACAAGAAATGGAATTTTTTTTAGGCAAGATTTTTTTCACAGATCGATATCTTACGATTATAAATTTTAAATTCGTAACAGTTTTATCAGTTGATTTACGTGACAATTATGCGTCTTTTCACCTGTCTTCGTTCATTCCGTTATCTTCGATGTTCGGTTGCACACCTTCCCCGGTGTCGGTAACCTCGTTGTCTTTATTGTTCTGCGTGCTCTCGACTTTGTACAATATATCATGGCAAAGAGGACAGCTATCCTGAACATACAACCATTTCCGCAAGCAGACACTATGGAAGTAATGATTGCAGTATGTGATCTTGGCACTCTGCATCTCCTGATAGCAAATGGCACACACATCGTCCAACGTTCGCAGTTGTTCTGCCTTTGCCTCCGGAAGGGAATTGATCTTGTTAACAGCCGATCGACGCTTCATGAATACGCTCCATCCGCTTCTTGCCTCGCACCATATATTAAAGTAAGCATGAATGCATATCATGATGGCGCGTATCGCTCCGCCCGATTCAAACACTAAAATCCAGAACCCGTTGAAGAATAGGATAATACCGAACGCAAATTCGATGGTGTTACCAAAGGATCGTATCATGTACACGCAGTCGTCGAGCTGTTCCCAGAACACGCTGCGGTAAGCATCGATCAGAAACAGAGAATAGATTGCGAGCGAGACCAGTACCTTTACTATCACCTCGATACTAAATACTGATACTGCCAATAACCAAGTGCTTACGCTGTGATGCGACCAAAGGAATATCAGCAACGACATCGGGAACAGTATCAAAAATGCGCAAACCGCCAGAGCGCGAATATGTCGATGAAGCGCTGGATTATGCGAAGCACTGAGCGACATCAATAACGGGTTTACAATGTTATGCACGAAATGTAGAACTGCCGTGAACAATAAGCAAAAATTTCGGCACAGCCTGACCAAACGTTTCTCTCTGTCTAAGCTCGTTAATCCAGTTTGCAGCGCCAGCACGTAAAATAAAATCGCGGATACGGTACCAATGCTCTTCTCGTCTTCGTCTTCCGTGAGTAACACCCATTGAAAGAAACAGCCGATGTAGTCGCAAATAAATGAAATTATGCTAGTCATTCCCAAGACTGCTGTCAAGGTTTCGCAGCCGTTCACTAATAAACTTCTAAGCATTATGTAATAAGTGAATGTCTCTTCGCCGTAATGATTTCCAAGAATCTGAAACACTTGTGCTCCGACACGTAGCATCCAAAACATGCGTAATACACATGGAACATTCAATCGTATCCATTCGGTTTCGGCGAGAGCGGACAAACCGTAGTTGCTTATGAAATTACGCGCATGATGATAACCCATATAGAGTGTGTTTAACATGGTGATGCCGTGGTACCAAATAACAAATTTACATACAGCTAACGGAAGAAGCGTCGCGAACACTGGTATATGGTTGAGAACTTGCATCTGAAAAAATATGTATATTCAATAATGTGCATATAAAAATGAAATATCTGTATTTTATACATGATATTTGAACATGATCTACGAAAAACATAATGTAAATTGTTATCAGCCAAAACATGCGAAAATCTATTTTTTAACGTTTCAGAGCATGCGATTATTTTAAATCAACATCGAAATACATTAATAATTTAAATTAAATCGATATACAATTATATTCAACTTACCGGAAGCGGACAAATGCCCACAATTGATGGTGTCATAAAACTCAGTACAAGAAATTTTTGTAGAACCGGGTGTTTTGGTGCAAGATGAATGTAACAAAAAATAATAGTTAATAAGCATTGTAATATGTAATTCTGAATTATCAGAAACCCTGGTCCTTCATTCAAAACGTACTTTAAGTTAAGATACAAAATATCATCAAGTATGCTAGTTGTTGATTCATGTGTGCTCACATATGTAATGATAGCTTTCATTGTACTAATATTTGACCAATAGGAAATAAATATTGCTCCTACTGATATTAAGTATAAGTATACAATAATTAGATGTTTTGTCCATAACATAAACGTACATATTGCAGCAATATATCCTGAAAAGTAAATATTCAACAATCAACTATTCAGTTCTATTCTACTTTAATTTTAGTAAAAGCTCAAATAATCCTTGATCATGTATATATTGGTTCATGAATACATGAAACATGAAGTTTGCTCCTGTTTACAAATGCAATGACCCACAGGAATTAGCTCTACTACTTTGAATATAAAAATCTCATTTAAATACTCTTAATACTTTAAATCTATCATAAACACTACTTTATATTTTGACTAACAGACTGCAATTACTTTTTCATAAATAACTATATATTTAAAAGATATTCTTGCTGCAATCACTTTCTAATACAAGTACAATTAAAAGATGTTCTTACGATGCATAACGATCAAAAATATTTCTAATCTAGGTGATGTGGTAAATCTAATTTTACTTTGCTCTCATTTTAAATACTTTGTCTTAACAAACACACATAGAAATAAATTAAAATTACTAATAATGAAGTATAAACTTAGTAATGTAAATATCTTACCTAAACAACAGCATAGAAATTTCAGTACAGTTGCAAAATGCAGTTTGTAAGCAAGATACTCAAAGTCGAATGGATTTAGCAACGAAGTAGGTATTATCGAATTCACAAAACTATCTGAAACTTTTGATATTTTAAAACTACGTTCACTGTTATAAAGCACAACATTGTCAGTAGATAATCCAAGTCCAATTCTAAGTAGTTCGTCTATGATGAATAAAGGTGGAACTCTAATTATAACATCCACAAAAGTGAGTAACTTCTCTCTCATAGATGTATCCATTGTTTCTCAAATTTTTGCCTCTGTAATACAGCTTTCAATGATATTTTATTCTTAGGAAGTGTGAGAACAGTTTCTCCAGTGCAATGTTATTTAATTTCGCTTGTTCAATATCTAAATTCAAAATGTTCAAAATAAATTGATATATTCTGCCATATTCAATAAGCAATTAATGCTAAATTACGTGCAAGCTTACCTCCGCAATTATAAAGTTTCTGGTTATCATATTTTCGAAATACGCTTGTCTTAACGAATAACTGGAATAATTTTTATCATCAAAAATCGACGAAAATAAGAGGTGCGTTTTCAAAAATCGTGAATTATAATTTTCTAAGAAAAAGGAATAATTTAGATGTCGAGGATGTAGCAGAAATTCAAATTTTTATAGAATTAACGTATCGAACTTGATCTTGTTTTAATATCACAAAACGATACATATAAAAATTCGTCGATTATTCGATTCTCAATTTAATCACAAAGTGATTTGAACCGTTTGCAGATATCACAAAGAAATAAGATTTTACCATCGTACGAGAATATGCTAACACCAGGCAAACACACAAATTTTTGGTCTCCAGATTTCTGTCAAAGATGTTTTTCTTCTTCCTACTCACTTCTGCTTGTAAAACTTATTTTGTGTTTATTTATTCACGTTAACAATAACCAAAACGCGTTAACCTGACAGCGACGGGATTTAGACTAAACTACGTGTTTAAAATACGCGTAATTTTCCCCAATGTAAAACGCTGTCGCGTATACTTTGGAGGTTACAAAGAACATGCACAAAGAATTTGAACGATTTAACAGATGGCGCTACATTACTTTTTCAGCACATATACGTTTAACGTGATTTGAAATTAGCATTATAAATTTACATTGTTACGTATCGTGAAGCAATTAAAAACTTATCATCGCATATAATTACAGTGACAGCGCATTAAAATGATTTGACCATTTGAAGATAGATTTATAACATCTGTTGTAAACCAATAATTACTTTGAATTCATTGCTACACGTAATGCTAATATAGTAATTATTCCCGAGATGGACGTGCAGGATTATTACTACTGTTCATTCTAAAGTTCGTCTACCAAATCACGTGCTACATATGTACAAGACATGTGCATGCAGTAGAAAAAAAAAGTATATACATATTTATAATTGTAGAGTCAATATTGGTAATTTTATTATGCAAATTCATAATTTTATTGTTAATAATATCATGTACTCTTTATCGTTCGCTCGCAAGATGACTGACGATATTTCACTGATCACGAAAGAAGGGAGGAACAGGAATGAGGAGTTTTAAAATCAAAAATCGATTCTGGAAGCATACTGATTTCAGATGAAAGTAGTGGAAACGCATTTCTAGTCAACATCGAATATATTTCTCTCAAGTCTCTATCTATCATATGTAAAATCGTGTGTGTGTAAAATTTATCTTTCAGAAAAAATATAGGTACAATTAAAAAGGTCATAAGAAAATATAAACGTTCAAAGAATGTCTAAAAATTTGCATTGTAACACTGAGAATAAAA